TAATGGTACATGTATTTTAACACAGCTTGGCAACCAGTATAATACAATTTAGGAATGGGAAATGGCGGATCTGAAAATGAAATGGTATGGGGTTAACGCGCCCATCAACACTATTAGGTTATTTATGGGGCGGGACGTCCAAGTTTAACGTCCGTCTCCGATAGGACCGAATGGCTGATCTGATATAGGCCACACAGAACTGGTGGTGAAAAGCATAAAATGTCTTGACAAACGAGCTCGATCTGAGTCAGACCAACACAGCCGTGCCTGCCACTTAACACCTTGTACCTGTCTGAATTTGCTCAGAAAACGCAAATATATTTTCTCTCAATAAGAGAATTCACCTTGGGCACATTTTGGTGTCTTTCTTTACTGCAGCGCAAACGACCCTGGTTCGGATTCCAACTTAGCGTAGGTGAACATTGAAAGTCTGATCAAGGATCTTTCAAAACTGTCCAGCTACGTATTAGTCTTGTCATAATATACACGATGGGGGCTACATTGCATCGACATTGCTGACTCTTAATTGCTTTGTAGAATGCTTAAGTCACAGCGCGCAATCTTTCAAATTGAAATTTCCCACTATTGAGGATTATTAATTTTCGGATCCTCAGACCACGTAATTCAAGCCTCGTTCGCTTGTTCTAGTGTGCATTGTTTTACGTAAGTTCATTTGACGCTTCTGAAGTGCCTAAAGCTGCTTGCCACCTGTCCAAGACAATCACTTGTACAAACGATCACTTCCTGCTTCTCTCATTGCATTGTTTTCATATTATAATGACACTGTCGAAAACGTTCACTTGTGTAAGACAACCACTTTTTTATCGACAGTGGGTGGCCATTTCGACTGAAAAAAACATTATATATAATATACACACACAAATATATATATTGTGTGTGTAAATGTAATGAATGCATGAATATGTGTGTATGTATGTATGTATGTATGTATGTATGTATGTATGTATGTATGTATGTATGTATGTGTGTGTGTCTATGTATGTGTCTGTGTTCTTTGTTATGAGTCATGAGACATTGAGAAAATTACTTAAAAACGATTGGTGTATAATACGTGAAACATTCTGTGCGAAGTTTGCTCTTTCTCAAGGGCGTTCCGTTCGACTTTAATGTTCTGTTGGCCGACAGGTCCACGGACACAACCTGTCGATTATACTCCAGTCGGCTCTCAAGAGATCCAATTTCGATTCCTATTTGTCAAAGCCTTGGTTTGTGTGTGCGTTTATCTACAAATCTTAGAGAGGTGTCGAACCACCGAACACTCGAAGCCGTTGATCTTTTCATTTTTCTCTTCATTAATCTAACTGTTCTCTTGAGTTGTGTGGCTCGATCCTTGTCCCTTTAGTAGTGAGGCAGGCATTGCTCAATCTCAGGACGGATGTAATTTGCACCAAAAAAAAACCTAATCGGTTTATGTAACATATGTGTCAACCACTCGCGTGCTTAACTGTCCCTTTGTTTGTAAGAGAATTATAAGATTCATCAGGTGCCTAGTTACTATCTAATTCAAAATCGTCCAGATGCAAGGCCAGTGACGGAGTAAACGAATTTTTTTGCTAAGATTGTGTGTTCCTGATATTCCGCAACAGCAAATAAAGGATTTTTATGTTAGATTCTTTATTCTAATTGGCGACTAAGTTACGATTTAAAAAAAAAGTTAACACCAACTGTTTGTAAAGCTTTTAACGCTTTTGTAGACAATGCCTTGAACAGATGATTTTAGGGGACATCGGTGAAGCATGAATGGTGTGCCTCGTTTTGCTTATCTGTATAGTTTCAAATGGGAGTTTCTTTTTCTTCTTGTTCAATCAGGTATCTCTTTGGTACCATGGCACTGCATAATAATCCACCATCGTGCACAACAGACTTATCATTCTTTTTTTTTTTTCATTTGTATATTTGGATTAATTTGTACACCAGCACATCTTGAAACTAATTTGCAAAACTCACAACGTCTGACTTTTTAATGGTGTTTACAGGAAACGAGGAAACGGGGCAAAAGAGGGGGGAAAAGGGGGGGGGGGGGGTTGAAATGATTACGATGCGAAAAAAATTGGTTTTATTTTTTTCCCTTGAAAACTTGAAACTTGTCTTTTTAACCTGTCAGGTTAATTAAAAAGTCACCAAACGACAGGATGAATGACAACTTCAAATGGAGAATAACCTTTGTTTAGAACGCTCGAAAAACGCTTTCTTTCTTCTAAAATATATGGACAGTATGAAATATAGATCCTACTACATCACTAAAGAATGCAAAATAATTGGAGATTCCAAGGAGTGGATCGATTGTGGTTCAGGAATTCTTCATCAAGGTTACAAGGTGTGCCAGTGTCATGACAGTTAAGAACTAAGCTATTGATACCAAGACAAAACACTGACCATTCTAACAAGCCCTGACCTAATCCTTGACCGTTGTGACCGGTCTCATTGTCAACGGAAGAAACACAAGCTGCTTCCCTTCAAACACTTGTCCGTGCCTACCCGTTGTGCGGCAGTATTTACACCCCCCGTCCTATGCCTGTGATATATTGGAATCGCCAGGCGT